ATCACTCAGCAATGCAATGTCAGACACAATGCACTCAATTTAGTGAGGGACATCACTGTGACGGCCTGGGTAGGGTTAGTGGGTGGGGTCAGGTAAGCGCATTAAAATGCATTGGATGCAGCTCAGATTGTACTGCATCAGGTCTGCATCAAGACCCCTCTCTAATATGCTGCAACTTACGAAAACACATGCAACTACAAAAAACAGCAGCAAATGTAGAAAAGATCTTTATATGTTTGACAGTAAAATGTGCTGCATTTTCTCACAACGCAAACAATTTAATCAATTGCACTGCATTTTCACACAATACAAATGAATAAAATGGGCTGCATTTTCTCATAACAAAAGCAAATGAATAAAATGCACTGCATTTCCTCACAACACAAACAAATTTATAAACTGCACTGCATTTTCTCACAACACAAATTAATAAACTGCACTGCATTTTCTCACAACACAAACAAATTAATAAACTGCACTGCATTTTCTCACAACACAAATTAATAAACTGCACTGCATTTTCTCACAACACAAACAAATTAATAAAATGCGCTGCATTTTCTCACAACACTTGCAAAAAAAAACGGAACACAACAGAATTCTTCAAGGGGACTCTAAAAATGTGACGAACGCTGCTGTGTCGTGAGTATTGCTGGGTCCCATTTCGCATTCTATCCATCCTAAATAGTATTCGAAAATAAAACTAGTATGTGCCAAACCATACGTTGAAAAGAGAATGCCAAAGGTTCTCGGATGATTTAATATTTTTGGCAAAAATTCGAAGAGTCGAAACATCCATACTCTAACAGCTAATATTGCCCACAATATACATTGCATGTTTGATTTAATTAAAATTACAGATTCCGGTAAAACATGTTAATAAACTACAAACATGGCAGATGCATGAGACCAACTATCAAGTGGAGAGGCTTTGGTAAAGTTGTTTGAATGACCAACTGGAACATGTTTAAAGCCCATTTTCCATGTTATTTAATCAACAACAATGTGAACTTACATGAAGATATGTTTGGACAACTTCTGAATGCATAATTGCCCAAAGACCTGAGAAGTTTTCTCTGCATAAAAGACTCGCGAATGGCAGATTATTCTGCTGCTGCTTCTCTAATAAGGTAATTAAATGTGAAGGAAATGTGCATGATGTGTCAAGATGATTGACAGGGGACGTAACTAAGCAACAGAACAATCTCCTTCCAAGGAAGTAGAATGTCCCAAAGCTTGCATACTTAGTTACTTAAAAAATAAATAAATAAAAATAATGTTAGGCCTACATACTTCTAGGGTATAGTATACGTATGTAAATTGGGACGCAGCAATAATCTCTCTCGAATTTAAAACGACACTCACCAAAGTGGCACAATTTGGATCAACGCTTAAAGGGGCAGTTTCAAAGAGTTATTAAACATTGTCATGTGGGACATATTGAGCTGCAAATTCACAAACACAGTCTAAGGACATCAGAGACTTATTTTACATCCTGTAAAAATGGGCAAAATAGTGTCACACCCAGTCTTCCTTGTGTGTTTTGTTTTCAACATTTGACCTCCCCCATGTGCCCCTTTGTTCCCGTTCCCGCCATTTGTTATGTTCATCTATGTCACCTGTGTTCATCCCGTGTATATAATCATTGTCAACATCCCCAGTGTATTTAAGTCCCTGTGTTTAGTCATTCGTTGTCCGGTATTCTCTCTGTAGATGTCTCATTTGTTTCTTCACCCCATGTTCTTCCTTGTGAGTAATTATAATAAATCTATGTGTTTTGATAATCTTGCGAGTCTGTGCCTTTCTCAGGTGAACCCAGGGCAGTACAAATAGGTCCCCTTTAATGATTACAGGTTTGCAACATTCTTCAAAATGTCTTTTTTTATTCAACAGAAACAAAAAGCAAACAAGTGAAGTTTCCTATTTAAGTTAAGATACAACCTTCCAATGGTAAAGGTTACTCATACTCAAAATTGGAGCTCTGCTTTTGACCCATCCAACAGGTATGGAGCAAGTAAAGGATACATTAATAAGGATGACCGCTTTCATTGTTGGGTAGATTAGATCTTTAATTTTTATTCAATACAACATTCTAGTGTTTATTTTCTTTTTGAGATTTATTATTTACATACTAGCATTTTCTTTGTTACATGCAACATACTTATTCACTAGCTAGGACTTCATTTTAGGTACACTGTTAACAATATTTGTCACAGTATTTAACTGTAAAATGAACATGCTATGCAGTATGTTACTGTATTTTAAAGTTGCATTGTGAAAATTACTGTTTATTTTACTGTAAAGATATACACACAATTCTGTAAATGAATATACAGCAAGATAAAAGGTGTTGTAATGTGAATACAATATTTTTACTGTAATTTATTTTACAGTAAATATCTGGCTAACTGCTGCCAGTAAGTTGCTGTAAACACAGGAAATTGTTTACAGAGTACAAGTGTTATTGTTTGAAAAATGTGCTTATTTCAATAGTGATTAGTAACTATTTTGTTTTAACTCAAGGTGTGGCTATTACATACGATTTAAGATAGTAGCTTATTATGCCTATTTTTAGATACTAGCACATTACTATAACTACTTCTTAGATACCCATACTATTTAAATAGTTTTTTTTTATCACGTACTAGTAATTATTCCTTAGATATGTATACCAGTTTATATCCAGCAGTTAGTACTCTGCAGTTCTCATGTGGTTGGCCTGTGAAACTTAGCAGGGCTAAGCCTGGTCAGTACCTGCATTGCAGATCTCATGGCAAAACTAGAAGTGTTTTAAATCAGTATACCGCTCATTCACTATTCTCCCCATTAGTTCACTAATTTAGTGTATCTAGGCTTTGCTGCCATTTTGTTTGTGCTTTGCTGGTCGATAAATCCCTCAGATAAATTAGATTTTCAACTACTTGGCCAGACTATTTGATATTTATTTAACACAACTAGGATATAATGGATAAATATCTATTTAAAAGTACTATATGCAAATAATAAGAGCTACTGTATTATCTAATGCATCTAATGCCATGGCGAGGGTTATGCGACCGTGAAGGCTGCTCCGGACTACGCATGAGCTTGATGCAGAAGCATAAATCAGCCTTAACTCAGCATATAATTTGTTATCATTATCCTTCTCTTGCCTTTGTGTTTTTGACCCTAGTTTTGTTTAATGTTCATGTTCCTGACCATTTGCCTGTTTTTCTTACCACTTTTTCAATTACTTGTATGCTCCAGTTTGCACCTGTTGTGACCTTTACCTGCCTGGCAATTATTAAATTAAACAAATTTTGGATCCAACTTCAGTTTAATTAAAGGATTGTCAGGCAGGTAATCAGTCTTTACAAGATTCAGCTGAGTGAGTGTAAGCAGGACTGGGACTGGTGTGTGAATGAGGTGCATGATGGTATAAGTAGTTTAGTTAAAGTTTGATTAATATTTCTGCATCAAGCGCACACATATGCTCCAGCACAGCCTTTGCGCGGTTGCATAGCCCTCGTGAATGCTGAAGCCAAAGCTAAACCAGTCGGAGTAAGTTTTTACAAGTGTCGAGTCCCGTGAAGGAGCCCTAGATGGAAACCTTTGTTTTATATTAGTATTTTGTGAGCTGACCTCAAGTATCTTTTAAAAAGGTACACTGAATTAGTAGCTATTGAGTGAGTACTAATACTGCATGGAACAGCTAAAAATAAATTAATATTATAAAATATAACTACTAGAAGAATAGATATTAGAACGTTTTTGTAGATTAAATGTTAAAAGGATTTATCACAGTCACATACATCAAATTCATTATCCTCAAATTCACTCAAATTTAATGTGAAAGATCCACATTAAATGCCTGAGAAATACATTTTATTTAAACAATAAATACAATTGGACAGTTTACAGAGTTACTTATCAAATGGAAACACCAACAATAAAATTATAATATTAATCTTTGAAATGTACCAGTGTCACAGAAGTTGCATCAGAATTGGTACAGTTATATCTGCATAAATAATGATATGAAATAAATGTTTTGAATGTGTCATAAAATTAATACATTATGTTTAAAGAGTTCTCTGACATCTACTCAGAGGATATGTGGCCTAGGTAAGTGCAAAAAAATTTCCAACAACAGTTTTAGAAACCCTTAAAATTAGCACTAGAATGAAAAGCTCACCTTATTTTGAAGGTCTGTGAATATTAATATTGGGCTTTACTCTCTTTGGTGCTCATGTAACATGATGTATTCTGACCTACATTTGTCCTTAATCATACTTCAGTTATCAAAAAACTGTGAACAAACTGAGTAGATGCCTCGTAAAATGACAGTCATTTTAACTAAACAGAAGAATTTATTTCACGTGATACTGTATGAGCTGCAGGCAGTTGTTTGTGTGTTGTCTGTTCCTCTGTTACTGCACCTGAGTTACAGTTTGTGTTATGAATAAAATATAGGCTACATTGTAATTGTACCTGACAAAAGTGACCAGCAGAGATTTATTTAGAGTTGTATTTTGTGGGTTTAACATCTGAAAACACAGTCAGGCGTTAATATCAAACTCTGTAGCCTCATTCACATGTGTCTATTACAATAGTACATGAAACATTTCACAAGACACATGTTAAAATAACAAAAAATACAATTAAACAGACTTCATGTCTCTTCTGAGTGGTGTTGAACAAATTTATGATCTGTCTTTTCCTGCATTCTGACAAGCTGTAAACAAGAGATAACATTACTTAACTGCTGTAACATAGACATGCATGGCTACCTGCTGTTCTTAAAGCTTGTCCAGTTTTTAAAAAACGAGTCCCACACATACATAGAAAATATGATAAGCTTTGCTGAAGTTCAGCAATGCTTACTAGGTATTTACAGATTCTCATTTTAAATGTAACATTTTTATTAACAATTTGAGAATTAAACAAGTAAAACAAAACATACAAATGCAAATTTGTGAGGATACTGTCATAAAAACTTTAAGACAAAAATACATATTTTAATAGACTTTTTGATGCATTGTTGGGTTAATGCATCACAAGTGACAAAAGTTCCGTAATAGTATTACATTTCTAAGTAACAAGTACGACACATTACTTAAAAAAAGATAATATTTGAATTCTTTAAAAAAAAACTGTGTCAGAGTTTAGATTAATCAATTAACTTTTAAAAAAATAAATTGCTGTACTAAATTTTACGTAATCACCTTGAATCAAAGATTCAATGAGAGAATGCGATTCCTGCAGGAACAGAATAAAAAGACCTACAAATCTATGATGGAAGTCTTCTCATTATTTTGAATGCATTAAAGAAATGGAAAAGGGGATTGTCTCAATGCACAGTGATATTACTTAACTCATAATAAAAAAAAAGTACAAAAGAAGCAAACACATTGCCTTATATTTTCATTAATTTTTATATTCTCCATGTATAGATCTGGAGTCAAGAAGTTGTCAGAAGATAACATTATCCTATTTTTTAATGGTAAATGAAGGTTGTACAGTGTGTTGTTAATTAAAGAGCTATTAAAAAAAGAAAAAAGAAAAATCAAGCCTCAGCCAGGTAACGAAAAAGTAACTCAAAATTAACATAACGCATTACTTACATTAAAAAAGTAAACAACTGAAACAACTAGTTGCTTTTTTGGAGAGTAACTCCATATTGAAATGTATTACTTTCAAAAGTTTATGTGAAATACAACCTCCAGCTCAGCAGTCAACATATAGATCTCATTTTTGATGGTTCTTATCTGAGACTCTCCAACAATAGACGCAGTTACAGTCTCTCAGCAGGACTGCAAGGAGACGACTCTGCCTTTTTATAATAAAATGGTCCTTTGTATGACACCTCACACCTATACACATTCTCATGACTCCAATTATGAGCAAGAACTGAGTACAGTCCCACAGCAGAGAACGTACCTGCGGGCCCTTTGTGCACTTGAGGAGAACTGACATGCTTTTTTAAACCTGTTGCTCCGTTTACCTTCCATGTGATTTTCACGCCTTTAGTTTGTAATCCAGTAATGACACATGCAAGAGTTACTTTGTTTGAGCGCCACTTCTCAACTCCAGCAGGTAGAAGAACATGCACCTTCGGGATCATCAAATGTTCAACATGGACACGTGGAACTGAAAAACATGGCAAAATATCTTAGTACACTGTGTTTGTTTGCATTTAAAGGGATAGTTCACCCAAAACTGAAAACTCTTGTCATCATTTACTCACACTTCACTATACAAAGCAAAATATTTTCTGAAGAAAGCTGGAAACCAGTTACAAATGACTTCCATAGTATTTGTTTTTTCATTTATTCATTTAGCAGATTTATTTTTATTCAAATCGACTTACAAGTGAGGATAAACGAAAAGCTTCAAATCATCAGAGAGCAACAGTATATAAATTGATTCATTCATTCATTTTCCTTCAGCTTAACCGATATTTCAGAGGTATACATAGTGGAATGAACCATCAATTATTCTCGCAGAGTTTTTATGTAGCAGATGCCCTTCCAGCAGCAACCCAGTACTGAAAAAAAAAATACACACTCATTCACACACACATTCATACACAACGGCCAATTTAGCTTATTCAATTCACCTACAGCGCATGTCACTGGACTCTGGAGAAAACTGGAGCACCTGTAGGAAACCAGTGCAAACACAGGGAGAACATGCAAACTCCACACAGAAATTCCAACTGACCCAGTCGGTACTCAAACCAGTGACCTTCTTGCTGTGAGGTAACAGTGCTGACCTAATGTTTCAGTGGTTTGATGTTTTTTCTCCAAGCATACAGAGAGTATTGAATGTATCTTCTTCTGATGGTTTGTCAAGCTCTTCTACTGATGATTTGTGTGTGTTATTAATATTTAAATATTTGTATTGATTTTCAATAGTATTCAATTTTCCTCGCAACACACAAATTGAACAAACTATTAACACTGAATAGCTACAAACATACCCCATAAAGAAAGAGGGAAAAAGAAAGAAACAAAAAACAGTAAAAAAAATAAACAAACAAACAAATAAATAAATATAAAAATTAAAACAATCAAACAAATAATAAAAACACAAAAAAAGAAAGAAAGAAAAAAAGAAAGAAAGAAAGAAAGAAAGAAAAAAGAAAGAAAGAAAGAAAGAAAGAAAGAAAGAAAGAAAGAAAGAAAGAAAGAAAGAAAGAAATGCAAATTTTAAAAACTTAAAAATTTGGGATAAACTCTATAAACTCAAACTGTATATTTTGTAATCACTAGCATTGACATGATGCATTTGCCACTTAACTGAACTACTTACACACCAATCCCAGTTCACTCCCTGATAACGCTCACTCAGCATTATGAAATCATTATCCTTGTCTTGCCTTTCCGTGTTTTTGACCCTAATTTTGTTTACTGTTCATGCTGTTTTACTGCCTGTCCCAACCATTTGCCCGTTTTTCTTACCACTCTTTCGATTAGCTGTCTGCTCCAGTTTGCACCTGTTGTGATCTTTGCCTGCCTGACAATTATTTAATTAAACTGCATTTGGATCTGACTTCAGTTTAATTAAAGAATCATCAGCAGGTAATCAGTCTTTACAATCTTCAGCTGAGTGAGTGTAATGCGGGAGTGAACTGGGACTGGTGTGTGAGTGAGGTGCATGATGTTATAAGTAGTTCTGTTAAAAGCTGATTTACTTCTGTTTATACTGAGGCTGATGCCAAGGCTGATGCGCACCTCTTTAAAAATTTAAGTACATGTCACAACAACATTTAGTGCAAGCTCTGTGATTGGTCGGTTTAGTAGCTGTGACCAGTGTGGGTGGGACTGAGAGCCGCACAAACCAGTTGAAATAAATTGTTTACAAGTGTCGAGTCCCGTGAAGAAGCTCTAGATGGAAACTTTTGTTTTGTGTTTTCTTTATGATTAATATTGTTGCACGTCTGCTGATTCAACCTCTGCATAAGTGAGTTTGAGCTACTTCTACATCAAGGTAGCGTTCAGAAAAAACAAAACACCTACGAAGAAACATGACACAGAGGAACATAAAAACCTACTAGCATTTCAGAAGTGTTATTGCATCATACTTGTCCCTTACACCCCAACTCGTTCATTATGATCCGCTGACTCTGGCCTTCTCGCTGTCCCTCGGTTCCGCCTCTCTTCAATGGGGGGCAGATCATTTAGTGTTTTTGCACCCAAACTCTGGAACTCTTTACCACGCTCACTCCGTTCTGCTAATAATGTCTCTGAATTCAAATCCAGCTTAAGACTCACTTATTTTCTGAATGCTTCACTTCTGATCTGCCAAACTGACCACTTTATCGTATTCTCCTGTGCTCTGCTCATTTGTCTCCTAGGTCTTGTTTGTATAATTACCGTTTATTATATTTGACCTCCTGTATGTTTGTTTATCTTTTTGACGCATTCTTTGTAAAGTGTCCTTGAGCTCTGGAAAGGTGTTATATAAATAAAAGTTATTATTATTATTATTATTATTATTATTGCAGAGCAATACAAACAGCATGCAGAACTATAAATGCAAAACTACATGGAAGGCAGATGCCACAGGTCACGCTGATCACTTGATGCAGAAGTATAAATCAGCCTTAAGTGGCAGATGCATAGTTCTCCATTTATCTCTTAACGCTAGATCTCTGGTGATCATAACAGTGTGAAGGACACACGGAATTGCACAATGTTTAACATTATAAAAACATTTATATTTTGTAATTTTATACAAGTTAAATTGTGGTCACATAAATTTGTACAGAAATCGATGTGGCAACAGTTATTTACATTTCATATAAAATTATATGGTGGCGCAGTGGGCAGCACAATCGCCTCACAGCAAGAAGGTTGCTGGTTCAAGCCTCAGCTGGGTCAGTTAGCATTTTTGTGTGGAGTTTGCATGTTCTCCCAGTGTTTCACAAGGGTTTTCTCCAGGTGCTCCGGTTTCCCCCACAGTCCAAAGACATGCACAATAGGTGAATTACAGCTAAACTTGTCCGTAGTGTAAGTGTGTGAATATGTGTATGGGTGTTTCCCAGTGATGGGTTGCAGCTAGAAGGTCATCCGCTGGGTAAAAGATATGCTGGATAAGTTTCATTCCGCTGTGGCAACCCCTGATTAATAACTAAGGGACTAAGCCAAAAAGAAAATGAATGAAAAATAATGCATACAATTTTTATACATTTATTTCATATTATATGTTTTCTCTTGATTTTTCCTGTTTATTACACATGTATTTGAGTTTATTCATTGATCACTGATTGTGATTTGTTATTACTAGGCCCAAAAAACTGCAGATTATAAATATGTGTTAAATATATATTTATTCAGTTTTCATATTTATTACATAAAAATTATTGACTAATATGCAAATATATTTATGATTTATTAACAATACAGTTTGTAAAGTAGTATTTACTTTTAGTATACACTGTATTTTTATTATATGAGAGGCTTGTTTTGCTTATCAAACAGGTGGATCTTAATGGATTTGCAAACCTTGAACTTTCTAAAAGTTATTATTTTATTATGATTTTAGTTATATACTCTCAAAATCATTCTCCATGAATCGACTTTTTCTTTGTTTGTTTGTTTGTTTGTTTGTTTGTTTGCTTGCTTGCTTGCTTGTTTGTTTGTTTGCTTGTTTTTGTTTTGTTTGTTTTTTATACATTTCGTTTTAGAAATGGCAAAAAATGTCTGCGGATTCTGTCTGGCCCTGGTTATTACCATATAGAGACAAATTATTAGTTTTAAATCAATAAAAGCTAGTGCACAAATTATGAGATCTGTAAAAAATAAGCAGTTTCCTTACATTTTAAGCTAAGTCAAATTAATGTTACAAGCGATTTAAACTTAACTGGCTTCATACAGTTTGTATAATGTAAAAACACAAGTTAAAATAGGCTTAACTTATTTTAATTGTTTAAATTAACATGAAAACATATATGCTGTCATAACATATTGATTGTTTGAACTGCAAGTTGAATAAAATTAATTTTACAAGTCTTTTCATCCTACATCAATTAAAACATGAAGTTAACATTTCCAAAAAATAAAGTTGAAACCTGATGAACTTATAAGTTAAAGTAACTAAAAACGTCATGACTTTTTGATCATGTAATTTTTACAGTGCATCTTTCTTGTCTACTAGGCATTCTAAATTCTTAAGTATGTACTATTTAAAAGCACTTCTTACCCTCTACAATAAGTCGAAGTCCTCTGCTAAACATCTGGTTCATCTGGTCCTTTTCACCTAAAGCTATGCTGTAACTGAATATTCACTTTATGAGCTACACACACACACAAAAAAAAAACATCAAATGAATGTTGTCCTTAAAACCTTACCTTAGCAGAAAAGAGACAATAATGGCGATCAAACTAATTGGGTTTCTGTCCTTATTCATTTTTGTTGTGTTGATTTTTATTTCCTTTAAATGTCTTATTTAATGTCTAAAATAATTTTTCTTCTGGAGCCAGTAAAGCTTTATTTGCTTCAGTGTTGACTCCCTTATAAAGCTGACTGAGAAGTTGACGGTTAAAGGAAGAATGTCCCATGTGCTCATGTGCTTTTGTGCAGATGGTCCATTTAAAAGCAATCAAGCATTACCCTGCTAAACACTTCACATCACAGGCTAAATTAATTTTGGTTTAGGCAATTATCCAAATGATTCATAAAAAAATGTAAGTGTTTTAATGATTTTTCTTGTGTTTTTAGATTTTCTCTCTTATTACTCTTATTACTCTTATTATTATTATTTTCTCTCTTATCCTCCTCCTCCACCCGCATCCTCCACACTTACTACTGATGACTTTGCTACATTCTTCTGCACCAAAACTGCAAAAATCAGTGCTCAATTTGCTGCACCTACAACAAACACGCAAGATACAACACCAACACCACACACACTCACCTCTTTTTCTCAGCTCTCTGAGTCTGAGGTGTCCAAACTTGTGCTATCTAGCCATGCAACCACCTGTCCACTCGATCCCATTCCCTCTCATCTCTTGCAAGCCATCTCTCCTGCAGTCATACCAACACTGACTCACATAATTAACACATCTCTTGACTCTGGTTTATTCCCCACTACATTTAAGCAGGCTAGGGTAACCCCACTGCTAAAGAAACCCAACCTGGACCATACGCTACTTGAAAACTACAGACCAGTATCCCTGCTTCCATTCATGGCCAAGATTCTGGAGAAAGTAGTGTTCAATCAAGTCCTGGACTTTCTTACTCAAAACAATCTCATGGACAACAAGCAATCCGGCTTTAAGAAAGGCCACTCAACTGAGACTGCCCTGCTCTCGGTCGTGGAGGATCTCAGACTGGCTAAAGCAGACTCTAAATCATCAGTCCTCATTTTGCTGGACTTGTCAGCTGCTTTTGACACTGTCAACCACCAGATCCTGCTATCTACGCTTGAGTCACTGGGCGTTGCGGGCACTGTTATACAATGGTTTAGATCTTACCTCTCTGACAGGTCATTCAGGGTGTCTTGGAGGGGAGAGGTGTCCAACCTACAGCATCTAAACACTGGGGTACCTCAAGGCTCTGTTCTTGGGCCACTTCTCTTCTCCATCTACACATCATCTCTAGGACCAGTCATCCAGAGACATGGATTCTCCTACCACTGCTATGCTGATGACACCCAGCTATACCTCTCTTTTCATCCTGATGATCCCTCGGTTCCAGCTCGTATCTCAGCCTGCCTGTTGGATATTTCACACTGGATGAAAGATCATCATCTTCAGCTGAACCTCGCAAAAACGGAAATGCTTGTAGTTTCTGCCAACCCGACTCTACACCATAACTTTTCAATCCAGATGGATGGGGCAACCATTACTGCATCCAAAATGGTGAAAAGCCTTGGAGTAACGATTGATGACCAACTAAACTTCTCTGACCACATTTCTAGAACTGCTCGATCGTGCAGATTTGCACTCTATAACATCAGAAAGATCCGACCCTTCTTATCTGAACATGCAGCTCAACTCCTTGTTCAAGCTCTTGTTCTCTCCAAACTGGATTACTGCAACTCTCTACTAGCTGGGCTTCCAGCTAACTCTATCAAGCCTCTTCAACTGCTCCAGAATGCAGCAGCACGAGTTGTCTTCAATGAACCTAAACGAGCACATGTCACTCCGCTGCTAGTCCGTTTGCACTGGCTGCCAGTTGCTGCTCGCATCAAATTCAAAACTCTGATGTTTGCCTACAAAGTGACTTCTGGCCTAGCACCTTCTTATCTGCACTCACTTCTGCAGATCTATGTGCCCTCCAGAAACTTGCGTTCTGTGAATGAACGTCGCCTCGTGGTTCCATCCCAAAGAGGGAAAAAATCACTTTCGCGAACGCTCACGCTCAATCTGCCCAGTTGGTGGAATGAACTCCCTAACTGCATCAGAACAGCAGAGTCACTCGCTATTTTCAAGAAACGACTAAAAACTCAACTATTTAGTCTCCACTTCACTTCCTAAGCTGCAATTGCCTCTTTGAATATCACACTAATTGTACAAAAAAAAAAAAAAAAAAAAAAAAAAAAAAACTACTAACACTTCCCTTCTTAGACTTTACAGACCTGAAACTTGCCTTTAGTACTTATTCATTGTTGCTCTTAGTTGTGTAAATTGCTTCCTTGTCCTCATTTGTAAGTCGCTTTGGATAAAAGCGTCTGCTAAATGACTAAATGTAAATGTAAATTACAATGTCATTAACAGTCTTAAAAACTGTAAAAATATATATATTTGGAGTTTATTTATGGTTGTGAATTGCATTATGGGGCCTTGATTTCTGTTTTGTCAGCTTTGATACTGAAAATTTGACTCTATAGTTTAACAAACTTGAAATAATATAATATATAGGAAATAATATGGAGAGAAACAAGTTTGTAAAATAACAGAAAATTTACTGGCAGTTTATTACAAGGTTTTTGCATTGTAATTATACTAAAATATATTATTTTAAACTATTAACAATGTTAGTAAAAGTGACTTTTCCCAAAGTTTTAAGATTAAAAATTGTCAGAAGAAAGGTCAAGATCTAAAAAGAATAAATGAAAAATAAAAACATGAGTCACAAAAAATGTGGCTAATTTATTAATACATTTATTTATACATTGATAAATAATGTGTATATATATAATGTATACATTTATACAATAAATTAATACATTTATTAATTTCAGTGTATAGTTTATTAATGATTTGAATTAGTTTTGAAGCTTATATATATATTACAATTTAAGTTATAGTTTGAGTAATTAATTTATTTTGCTTTTTTGCTTATGTTAATGTTTTATGTTATAATTTTTTTTTCAAGTGCTGAGCTTTTTTCAGTTTTAGCTTCTGTTTACAATAATAATGATGGGCAGGCAGTATCTGTTAAAAAATATCCGTTAATTAACAGTTTCCGTATTTTGTGATTCACAGGTGTTTATTCATGGCTATGAATTACACTGAGACCTTAATTTCTGCACTGTTGATTTTTTACAGTATGTGGAAAATAGATCTTTGCAGTTTAACATGACTTTTGTTGATATTTTAGTAGTTTAAAGCTTTTTTTTTTTCCATGAGAAATGTTAGGTTTAGAAATAAGTCTATAAAATAACTAAAAAAAGTTTATTATGATAAGATCAAGATCTCCCAATGCATTAAATAAGAAAGAATATAATTAAAAATAAGTCCATAAAACAACTGGAAAAAGTTAATTTATTACCAGATTTGTTGCTATATTTACAACTCAAATACACCATATATGACTTCAAACTATCAAAAATGTCAATAAAAGTCACTTTTTAAGATTTTTCAAAATCAAAAGTTGTTGGAGGAAAGATCAAGATCTCACAATGCATTTAATAAAAAGGTTATATTTAGAAACCAGTCAGAAACAACAGTAAAAGTAAGTGTATTACCAGATTTTTTTTTTTTTTACTGTATTTACGACTCAAATACACAATATATGACTTCAAACAATTAAAAATGTCAATACAATTTTAATAAAAGTCACTTTTTCAGACTTTTCAACATTAAAATTAGTTGGAGGAAAGAGCAAGGTCTCATTTAAAAATCATAAATAAACAAAGAAAAACAACAAAATTCATTCATTTTCTTGTCGGCTTAGTCCCTTTATTAATCCGGGGTCGCCACAGTGGAATTAACTGCCAACTTATCCAGCAAGTTTTTACGCAGCGGACGCCCTTCTAGCCGCAACCCATCTCTGGAAAACATCTACACTCACATTCACACACTACGGACAATTTAGCCTACCCAATTCACCTGTACCGCATGTCTTTAGACTGCGGAGGAAACCGGAGCAAACCCACACGAAGGCAGGGAGAACATGCAAACTCCTCACAGAAACGCCAACTGAGCCGAGGTTCGAACCAGCGACCCAGCAACTTTCTTGCTGTGAGGCGACAGCGCCACTGCGCCACTGCCTCACCACAACAAAATAAAATACTTTTAATTCATGTATATTTACAGTGTATCTTATATTGTTATATGGTCAAAAGTTTGGGGTCAGTTTTTTTCATGCTTTTTTTTTTTAAGATAATGCTTCTGTTCATCAAGGCGCCATTTATTAAATGTAAAAAAAGGGTTAAATTGTAAAATGTTTATTAAAATTTCAAATAACTGTTTTTAGTTGAATGCATGCATTAAATTATTACTCCAGTCATGATTGCTTTTATTACTATTACCAATAATAATAATAATAATAATAATAATAATTAATAGATTCCTAAAGGGTAATGTGACTAAGGAAGCTGAGAATTCATCTTTAAAAATAACTAGAAGAAAATATAATAACATTATATTATAATACAACTATAATAACAAGTTCAATAACATTTTACAATTTTACAATTTGTACTGTAATTTTGATCAAATAAATGCAGCTTTGGTGAGCAGGATAAGCTTATTTTAAAACATTTAAAAATCCTACCAACCCCAAACATTTTGACCGGTAGTGTATATGTATAAAATTAAACTATTAAGAAAACTAACTAGTGAGACTGTTAATAAACTAAACTTTTTCTAACATTATATCAATGTCTTTTTTTTTTTTTTTTAACATGAATCCACTAAATTACCCCTATTTTCATCATAACCTGATAAGAGAAAATAGTTTTTCCCTTATTATAATGATATGATGTGTTGAAAATATTTTTGACTGTTGTTCAGTTAAGAGGGACGTAAAAACAGGAAAGAGACGTTGGTTTACTGGCAGATGTGCATACTATCACAACACTGCCAGCACTTTGGCACTGATCTCCTGGGATCCCTTCAATCCAGTTGCAACAATGTTTGCAGATTTTGCAAGCCAGAAATGCAAGCCAGAAACCTTTAAACATTAAATAATAGACAGCTTTCAATAAAGAGAAACTACTGAAAAAATAATACACAATGTAGTTTAAAAAAGCATGTTTATTTTTATTCATCATAAATAAAGTTCATCTACACAGAGAAATAGGATAATATATAATGCAACTTTTAAGCATCTACATTCTTTTTGTCCAACATATGCATCTGTTGTTTGTCTGAAAATCCACAGTAATAGGTACCAGTGTCATTCCTCAAAGTTGTGATGATTTGCAGAAAGTGACTTGGGTTTAAGCCTTCGCTGGTTAAGATGGCATATCTGCTCTGGTCCATTCCCATGCCATAGCGAACATTTGAAGTGTTGGTGATGTTGTAGGAGAGGATTATTCGTAACCCCTGTCCAGCAGTCTGTTTATACCAGCTCAAAACCCCCTCGCTGCTGTTGGGCATCAGTGGGCAGCTCAGTGTAACATTTTGCCCCTGCTGTACAGAGATGGTCAGTGAAGTCCTCCATATTAAGCCTGAAATTATAATGGTAAAATGTTAATATGTGTGTGTTTTTGTATGTCCCCACAAGTATAGCAATACCTGTAAAGGTTGATCTTGGGAACAATTTTTATTTATTTTTTGTTCCCATGAGAGAAAACAGCATATACTGTATAAATCATCTAACATGAAGTGTTTTAAAAATGTTAAATTGCAGATGATTTCCTATGAGGGTTGTGATTAGGGGTAGGGGGATAGAGTACACTGTAAAAAATATTCAAAGACTATGCAGAGATTAGAAATCAATATTCCATTATGCAATCCACAACTGTAAATAAATAAAAAAAACACTAGTAAATTACACTATTAACCCTTACGTGCTGTTGGGGATGATTCCCACTCTGGGGTGATTTTGAGTCTTCACTGGCCCTAACTTTTTCTGTGTTTCAGCTTGCATAATGATTTTTGGTGATAAATGTTATTTTGATGCATATTTTGAGATGTTTTCTTTTTTTTTTTTTTTTCTTTTTTTTTACTCAATGATACACAATGATATACCAGGTTTTCCCTGTTGGGAAGATGTACAATTTTTAATTTTTACTGTTGATCCTCAGTTGGCACCATTAACCCTTTAGATAGGCCTGAGCAAAAAAAAAAAAAAAAAAGCTTAGTTTCTGGATTTTATATGGAGTATAACAACAAGTTTAACAACAACTGAGTTTGAGAGCGAGCTATACAGACTTACCTTGTCTGAGAAAATCGATATATGCATCTCAGCTTTCATAACTACATGGAGTAAATAAAAAAAAAAAACAAATACTGTGTATTCATGCACCATCAAAAAAAATAAATAAATCTAAAAATAGATCAAATGCAGTTGTTACTAATCATTCACATGTCTATGATAAACTGTGATAAAAAGTTAAAAACGCCAGTACACAACAAATTTTTTAATTGAAAATACATCATTTTGTGTGTTTTTTTTCACCAAATGAGTTACATCATTTGTGAACTTGGCAATTAAAGAGTTAAAATCCTGTATTTTATAAACAGTTTAGGAGTTTTGATAAGGACTGAGGTTGATTGACAGAATTGGTAACAATTTATTTTGATGGTCCATTTGAGTATTAGTGGACTGTCTGTCTTGAGTATTAGATACTGCTGCTAAACAGACATTTAACTGACTATAAGAAACTTTGCAAGTACATGTCAACTAAACCTAAACTTAACCCAAACACCAACCTTAACCCCAACCCAACAGTCTATTTATATAATCTAATGAGAATTAGTTTGCATGTAGATAAAATGTAACTTAATTCAACACACGGACCACCAAAATAAAGTTATTTTTTTTTCACAGTTTATAAACATCATTACATTGATGTGCATTTGCTGTGTAAAACATATGCTGGATATGTTGGTGGTTCATTCCGCTATGGTGACCCCAGATTAATAAAGGGACTAAGCCGAAAAGAAAATGAATAAATGAATAAACATCATTACATCTATGTTAAATCCCTGTAACCATAGCTTTACAACTAACAGTAGCTGTTAACATGTTAGAACAAGCTTATGTTCTATCTTAAAAACAATCTAAAAATATTATCTGTGTACTGTATTAGACTAACTAGCAACTATTTAAATAGTGTTGCTCTTTTGCTTTAATTTTGTAATAAATAATTTTGTCAGTAATCATGAAATATAGTTAAACAATCATCAATATTCTGAAAGTTATTCGTGTTTGGTTATGAAAGTTTTATTATTTCTTTTAGTCATTCATTCATATATTGATAATCCTGAAAACAAAAATTAAATCAGCAATATGTTTAAATATATGTTAAAATTGTAAATTTAAGTTTGAAAAACTTACTGTGCAGTGTAAGATACAGAAGTGAAAGCAGCTTTTTGTTGTAGCTTGTTTGAAGATCCATTGTTTTGTCATACGTGAACTTGGCTGAGAGCTGTTGAAGTTTGGCTGTCTGTGTGATGCCACTTTCGGTTGGATACTTTATATGTAGTTCAGACTTTACAGTCACAAGAGTCTCTCAGGAGAAATGAAACTGCAGATGGGAGGTGCAGTTTATCAGGGTTAGACTTACAAGATGTCAGGGATCTGGGAGGATCCAAACACACAATGAGGATAAGGGGGTTTTATTGATAGAAAGAGGGGGGATAGGTTATGTGGCAACAGTCCAACAGGTGATGGTGGGTCCTGCAGGACAGCCTAGAATGGTGTGGATTGCAGTAACAAATGGCAATTGCCTTGGAAACAGATAAGGGATGACCAGAACAGATTAAAGGTGGTGAAGGCCCAGAATGTAGCGCAGCAGAGCACAATCAAAAGAGGGTAGTCTCTGAACTGGTAGCAGTTTGACTGAATTACCAGCAGCCAAGGATTCATAGAAGGCAAGGTTGGACAGTACTAGTTAATACTAATAGCCTGTTTCCATTTCCTGTTCAGTATGCTTTTATGGCGATTTCCATTGTCAAAAGATACCTAAAAGCGGACCTTATCAGACCACTCTTTGGGTACTCTTTGCAAAGGGTATCTAGCACAACAAAAGGGTACCAAAAGGCGGAGTTAGATGCGCAGAAGAATGCTATCGGTTTACAAAGATATGTCACTCACTAGTGCAACAAGCCAGAATGAAAAAAAAGGAACCGCCATGTTTTAAATACACAGCCAAGACATTACACTGTAATAATATATACATATAATAATGAGCCATGGCCGACCCAAGCTCAAACAAACCTTGTCGTCATCTTGATGAACAGCCACAAAGCCAAGGAGAAGACAGAATCTGCCCTGTGACCCAAAGTTTTTTACAAGGCCGTCTAAAGCACGAGCAGTTTTGCTTTCTCGCTTGCGCGTCTATATTTGAAATACCAAACTTCTTGAGCTCATTATAATAACATGCATGTGATTATTGAAGTGCTTCTGACATCCGATCCTTTCAGAAACGGACAAACACCAAGAGTGAAGTGTGACTAAACAAAGGAGAAGCCGGAAAAAAACAAAGAAGCAAATGATTCTTACAGCAACCTAAAAAATGAACAAATTGCCAAGTTTTACAATTATCATCTCCTTTTAAACTATTGTGAACTGGAAATGACAGAATTTCTGTCTAAGAAGAGGTTACATATTTTTTTAACCCAAATAAGGACTAAAGCTGTAATTGGTAACATGTCAGAGACTGTAAGGGGATGTATATGTGCATATATGTTGCGTTTATTTATTTATTTATTAGATTTTTTTATTTTGATCATTGATCTGCAGTTATAATCAAATTGTGTTCATAAATAGGTTAGAGTACCACTGGTACCCTTTAGCAGTGGAAATGCAAGCCTGATAAAGGTGACCCATACTGACCTGTACTGTACCGTAATGTACCACTCAGTGGAAATGGGCCATAAGGGACCAGACACAAGACAAACATACACAACATACAAAGACAGACAGATGCGAAAAACTAAAAGCAATAAATAAAAGAAAAGAAAATAACAACAAAACTGTAGAGAAAAGCGCAAAATTAACAAAATACTAGAATTGTTAAAAATTAACTGAGATAACAAAACTTCAAAAATAAATCCAGATTTCACTTTAACAATAAACTATTTATTGAAAACGAAGCAGAAATTGCAAGCTAATACAAGGAGACTAAAAGGAAAGGTATGGATGAACTGGATTGGGCAGAAGACTCTTGGCGTTCAGGCGCAAATACAGAGCGCAAGACACAAAGCACAAAATGAACCAGCAGGAAGAATATGCAATATAAAAAGTACAATATCAAGGAGAAAATCCCACCCCTTTTTGCAGCACTGTACGACAAAATTTGGCTTGTTCAAACTCTAGTGTGACGGCAGCTTAAGAGCTTGATTAGCTAACCTCAACTGTATCTGATTGGGCTTGGATCTGACTGGTTTGATTATTTCAGAAACTGCTGAACTACAGGGATTTTCAACCACAACCATCTCTGGGGTTTACAGAGAATGGTACAAAAAAGAGAACATATTTGTAGAGAACAGTTTTGTGGGTGCAAATGCCTTGTTAATGCCAGTGGTCAGAGGAGAATGGTCAGTTTCAAGCTGATAGAAAGGCAATAGTAACGCAAATAACTACTCGTTACAATCGAGGCATGCAGAATAACATCTCTGAACACACAACACGTTGAACCACACTGTGTGCCACTCCAGTCAGTTAAGAACAGGAAACTGAGGATACAACCAAAATTGGACAATAGAAGGAAAAACGTTGCCTGGTCTGATGAGTGTCCATTTATGCTGCAACATTTGGATGGTAGGGTCAGAATTTGGCATCAACATCAGGAAAGCATGGATTCATCCTGCCTTGTATTAACAGTTCAGGCTGGTGGTGGTGGTGTAATGGTGTGGGGGACATTTTTTTTGGCACATCTTGGGCCCATTAGTACCAATAGGGTATATGCCAAGCTAGTGCTGTTCCCATGCTGATACACTTCCGGTGACCTGTTATTGTGAACTTTTTCTCATTTTATACGGTTCCTTATACAGCATCGATGTTGTAATGTCATTAAAATACATTCAGTTAGATCAACTTTACCATTTATTTGGTTGCTCAAGTGTAAAACGAGACAAAAAGCTGTTTACTCGCACGCGCCCGTCAGAATCGGCAGGCTAACGCAGAAGCTCCATTAAATATACTGGGGTAAAATAAATGCTCATATTATAAAGATATGGCGGGGGATATGTAATTTAATGCAGTGCTTCTTGTACAATCTGAGACCCACTTTAAATCAGATATCACTCAGCTAGATGAGATCGCTGATTTTTAAAGAAAACAGACCTTAAATGCACCGGATTTTGCATTGGCATTCCATTCGCCGGAAGCGCTTAACCCAGATTACTGGCAAATTAAAAGTCCTATTAGCATGCTTTGGCATATACCCCATTGAGCATTGTTTTAACACCACAGCCTACCTGAGTATTGTTGCTGACCATGTCCATCCCTTTATGAGCACAGTGTACACATCTTCTGATGGCTATTTCCAGCAGGATAACGTGCCATGTCATAAAGCGTGAATCATCTTAGACTGGTTTTTGAACATGACAGTGAGTTCACTGTCCTCAAATGGTGTCCACAGTCACCAGACTCCACCAGTGGTGGAGCGGGAGATTCACATGGATGTGCTGCTGACAAATCTGCAGCAACAGCATGTTGCTATCATGTCAATATGGGCCAAAATTTCTGAGGAATTTTCCAGTACCTTGCTGAATCTATGCCACGAAGGATTAAGGCAGTTCTGAAGGCAAGTAAGTTTTAAAATATGAGTTGGAAAAAAAATCTTCAAATATTTAAAAAAATAGTCTTTCTTTAAAGTGGGGATAATATCACGAGAGGGTTCTGAATACAGACTTGGTACAGTTGACAGGTGAGCTTCATGCAATGATTTTAATGAGCACGCTTAACTTCACATTACTCCTCACAGTGACGTCAAAGTGACATCAATAGCTTCATTGAGTGCGTTGTGTCTGACATTGCATCTTTCAAATAAGCAGCCTCAGCTTGCAAATCCAAGTCTGCATACAGATACTATTACCTCCTGCTGCAGTGCTCTGCTATGAACAGTAGAGAGCACTGTTTGTTTTTTATTTTGTGACCAAGAATACTGAGTTTGAGACAGCTCCTCTGGGCCACTAATGCAGGAATCCCTAGAGCAGCTGTGGCAGAAACAGTTTTCATAGAAACCTCTCGGGCAGCCAAAAGAAGATCTTCTCAGATAAATGGAAAAGACTTTCATACAATCCAATCAGCTGGATTGGGTTTTGTTGTAAACTTTAAACAAACTAACTAACTGAAAATTGGTTATTAATAGTACTATAGCAGTTTGTATAATATTACAACAATATTAATTATAGGGTGGCACGGTGGCTTAGTCTGTAGTTTTAAATGTAACTGCATTAGATGTAATCATGAGTATATGACATTGTAAATGTGTACACATTGAGTACATTATACTAAATGATTCATTTGCATGTAAGTACTGTAATGATTAAGGCACAGGTGTCAAGCTCAGTTACTGGAGAGCTGCAGCTCTGCGCAGTTTAGTTCCAGCCCTAATTTGACACACCTGATCAAACTAATTAAGTACTTGAGGCTTGTTTGAAACCAATGACTGTAAAAAATATGGACGACGCGACAGCCCTTTTTCCCATTGAACGCCTTGAGGGCAAAACGCCTGCTTGACGGGCACAAACTGTCGCAAAAGACTGCTGAAATTGGAGCCAGACATGCGCAGAAGGATTGTCTGATGGAGCCAGAGGAGGAGCCGCAAAAATGAGCGGAGTCGAACTTCCAATCAAACGCTTTATGTAAAATCAACTACGCCCCCCGAACTTCTCAGCATGCGTTTGCTGTCATATCAACACAAATGGATGTAATAACGTTAACAAATATGAGGGTTTTATATATTCAATCGAGCCAGCTCCAGGCCGCAGCGCATAACTTACTCGCGGCGTCGCGGGCTGATTCCGGCTCGCATGCGGCAGCGCCTGCTCGCTCGGCCGCCGCATCTGGCTCGATTGAATCGGACTGGAATCGGGCAGTGAGTCCAGGCATCCGGAGTAGGTCCAGCAGAGGTAACGTTAGTCAGTCTGAGCTCTAAGAGATAAGTCTCCGGCAGGCGAGAATCTAGCCGGAACTGTGTTTTGCTATCTGGGTGGCTAGGCGTGTATCAGCAAACTAATAAAGCCCGAAAAAAGCCCTGAACTTAGCGAATAAACAGTGTTCCACCAGGATCATGTATGTCAGAAACTATAGTTTACTGCTGAACTCATTTTGTCATGGTAAAATAACACAGAAATCGAATAATAACATTTCAGTCTACTTCAGTCTCCTGCCGAAGCTCAGACGCCGCACTTTGAGAAACTGTCAATCACAGCTGTCAATCACGAT